CCGCTCATTGATTGGGGAGCACCAGCTTCAGTGGAATCGCCGATCGGTTCGACCAGCGATATCACAAGGATCATGGGATTAGGATCTCAACACACTTCGACACCAATGGGCCAAACTGGAAGTTCAGTGGCCAGTTCAGGGACATCCAGACCGGTTCAATGCTGCATCGCATGCCATGGTACTGGAGTGTTGACAGCTGAGCAGAATGTGACCATCTTTTCGCTGTTGGCCTCAATGCCCCCGCGAAGTGTGATGCTAAGATGTTCAAACGAAACGTTGTCAAGAGTGACTTTTGAGTGTGACTCAGCCGTTTCAATCATCCGAGAGTCGGATCAACTCAGGTATCCTCGATATACTGTGCTAGAAGTAGCTTGTGGCAAAGAGTCAGTCATCGCAAGATCTTGTCGAGAAGTTGACTATGTTCGATACATCGGAATCCATGCAAACCTTCAGGAGATCGGTGTTCGCAATAAGGTGCTGACCCTGCTCCGTGATGGATTCAGTCGATGCCCGCATGGATCTCAGGTGGCATGTCTCGTGCACATTTCTCTTCCTTGCAAAGGCGGATCCCCTCTCTTGAATTTTTGGGGAAGGAATGAGAAGCACGAGAAAGAGTTCTTCTATCTTTTAAAGTCATCTGGAAAGTATCTTGATGAGATCAAGTCATCTGAAGGAGTATCTGTCACTGTTTCGTTCGAACTGCCGAGAAGCAATCAGTACTGGAAGAGTCGAGATCTTCAGAATTTCTTCGAAAAGCACGGAATGGCATATCAGAGTGAATGTCATGCTTGTTCGATGGGATTGGAAACCCAGAGTGGACTTCGAATTGGCAAAATTTTCAGGATTCAGAGTTCCAACTCGTTTTTGAGTCAGCGGTTGAACTCTCGCTTTCAATGTCGTTGCGATGAGAGTCATGCACCATTCAATGCAGTTGATTACCATGATACTGAAAGGTACTCAATGAAATTTGCTCGTTTTCTTGTGAAGAGTTTTTGCATCTGTGCATCCTTGAGGTGAGAACCCAAGCTGAGCAACCGACTGGCTGAGAGCCTTTGCTTTTGTTGCTGCACAGATAGCTTGATGACACTTGCGGATGAAGCTTCCGATGATCGATGTGAAAATACGTGTGCATGAGATGCCGCTGGAACTCAATAGCTTTTGAACTGTGATTGTTCACACCTTCTAGACTGTTCACTGTAGAGTCTGTCGAGAGTCGATGAAATTGGATCAGGTTTTTGACAAAGGTACTTCATGAATCTTGTCTCGGTCTGCGTGACCACCTTACTTCGAGAGACTTGAAACCAGTTGAACAGTGAGACTGTTTTTCAGGATGGAAGCCGTGCTCATGTCGAAATGACCCTTGAGTCGTCCCTTCCTTCCTATCTTTTCTTTCCTTTCGGAGAACTTTTCTTCGCCGAACTTTTCCGCAGCCATTTGTGTGTGTGGGGCGTCCGCGCGGGAAGCCATGTTGTCGTTTGAGGGCAGCTGCATTGCTGCGCTGGCGTTGTATGGCGCGCTGAGTTTGCTTGTGAAGCTTTTTGGCACTGCTGGAATGGCGAAGAGCCTTTTGGGACAGAAGAGGATGATGGCCGATAAGCCAGAGAAGCAAGAGCCGTTGTTGAGAGAGAAAGTCTCTGCTGCTGCTTCTACAGGTGCTGCTGCTTCGAGCGCTGCTGGCCGGCCGAGTGGTGTTGAGAACACTGCAACCTCCGAGTGGATGAAGATGAATGCAGTGAACAAGGTACTTGAGGTTTTTGTGACCTCGACTGGGTCCAAATTCCACCTTGACCGTCAATGCCAATACTTGCGAGGCAAGAAAGTCACCTCTTTTGGTTTGTGTAGCTGCTGTGAGCGCAAGCGCTTACTGGAACAGCGAGTGAATAGTGTCCAAAGTGGCATGTGAGCTTCGAAAGGGGGTGTGAGAATTTATAGTACTGAGGAGCGAAGACTCCATACCACTTGTTTAGAGACCGCAAAGAAAGCCATAGAGAGTTTTTGGCTTGTTTGAATGACGTTCGTTAGCTTTTGAGGACATTGAAAGATCCCTTTCAATGTTTCCCTATGCTTGTAGTTTGTGTATGAGGTGTCCGAGAACACCCGAAGATGTTTAGACTATGCTCTTAGTTGTTTCCAACTGTTTTTAGAACCTTTGTGAAGCGTAGAACTGTTTTAAGTATGGTTTTGCATGTCCACAAATGTCCCGAGAACATTTGTGAACCTTGGAGAACGTTCGTCACTTTGGCTCAAGTGTGCGGCGAAAAGTGTGCGTGTCTTTTGCCTGCTTTTTTCTTCCGTTTTCGACTCGGGTCGTTGAGACACTTGACTGACTAGGTGTTTTGAGCACGAGAGCTTTTGATTTTCCGTCAGGAGTTTGTGTGTCAAACTTTCACGCCAACTTTCCTTCTAGGTCGACCCCGCGTGAAATGCTGCCCGAGGCCTTGAGGGCTTGGCTTCCAAGCTTCGAAGACATGTGGTCAGATAAGAGCGGTCTATCATATGCAGAGGAGAATGCTTTCGCACTTTGCCCAGCCATGAGATGGCCGCAGTGGCTACACATAATTCCGGACCAGGGCTATGTGTTAGGCCTGGCCTAGGCTCATCCACTGCCGCTCGAATAGATTGTCGAATACACTATAACATGGCTTCGCAAGTGCGCGCCTCAAACTCCATAGACCAAAGGAAACCGGCCGAAAAGAGGACCCACATGCAAAGAGTGCCTGCTTACTCTCAAATATGCCCACCTTCATGCCACAGGGCAATGTCAATGAAGCAAACGCCTCGACAGCAGTCGTTGGCCTCCACTCGAGTGGCAACGCCCTGTTTGTGCAGACCAGCTACTTGCCAATAGGGTCTCAACATCCTGCTGTCAGTGAGCCGACCTGGCTGCGAGCCTCAGCTCCTGGCCGGGCATTGGCGCGCGTCGGTAGAGCAGTAGACGATTGGCACCCAAGTGAGAACCTTAGTCTCGCCTGGAGTGAGTCTGCACTCAGCCAATCTTGTACAAAGTGGGCGCAAAGTACCATGCTAGGAGAGATTCTTGTTTCACCATGTTTCACAGGGCCATGCAGGGCCATGCATGTCTGTGGATAGTGACCCATGATGACTGCTCTATCCATCCGATTTTGCATACTTGCACACCCCCCAAGCTCCCGCTGCTGCCTGTCATGGAGCCTATTGGGTGGGTGTGGGTAGCCTCCCCCGGATGAGGGAGGTTTGTGGGTTGCCTGCAGCTACGCTTGTTTTGCAATGTCCATCGGCCACAGTCGCCTCTGCTTGTGCAGCCGTGTGTAATAGCTGTGCCCTTAGGCAGGCTGTTTTCCAAGGCCAGAATATCATTGCAACTACTGAAAGATCATAACAGACCTGAACTGCTGCAAACAGTCCGCACCAGCTGAAACTGTCGTGCATTCGAATATGGCTGAAGTGCTTGCAACCTAACCTGGCAAGGGCTGACCTGTCCCTTGTCCGCTCCTGAAGGCCACTGGTGAATGGCCTTCAAGGGTAGCAGCTCAATGTCCCATTACATTGTATGGCAAATTTCGTGAATTCAGGCCCGATTAGTTAGTTGAACGATCTTTCATGTCTCACCAGTCTCACCTTAGTACAGTGCGAAACTCTGCTCACATTGGTTCAAGGGGTCCTTTTGGGGCTTTTTGGGGGTGTTTTTTGGTTTGGTTGTGGTTGTTGTGCTGTTTCTCTTGTGGTTTTGCTCCCCTTACCAATATGCAGAGTTTCCATCCTTCACATGATGACCTGTGCGCACCGCGCACATGGCGTCCGTACTCGTGCAAAAAAAAGACAGATAAGAGCGGTCTATGAGAAGGCCCAAAGAAGGGGGAGGCCAGGAGGGCCTTCAGATAAGACCTTGCTATCCCCCGTTCGAGAAGAAGCTGCTGAGTTTTCTTGCGCACTGATTTGAGTTGACTGTCATGGTTGTAATGAATGGTGCGAGAAAGAAACAATATGGGCAGTTGGCGAAGTCAACAAACTATTTATTTCTTAAGAGCTTCCTTGTTTTGCAGTGATGGAAAACAAGCTTGCATTCATTCAAACATACCTCTCACGTTTCGTTAAGCTTGGTTCCAGGGTAGTGGAGGGTGGGTTTCCGCTTTTCTTTGTCTGGCAAAATTGGCCCGCCCACCACCCATGCAGCAACCTGACTTGGTGCAATTTCAAGCAGACCTCTACTGATACAGAATGGCAATTCAACTGAGATCCGATGCCCTAGCAGCCCTGATTGCTATGGACGCCATGATCGAGCACTTCGAAGACATGGGGTTTGCCAATACCGCCCATATTGGCCCCTTGAATCAAGCCCGCCAAGAGCTTGCGGACTTTTTGACCTTTGCAGACCATCTGATTCGACAAGCGACCGAAACCCTGAACAATTGGGTTCAACACCAATGGCGTTGGTTGCCAACGCGCTACCATGTACCATACAAAGCCTAGCCCTTCCGACCGGCCAGGAGGGCCTTCAGATAAGACCTTGCTATCGCCCGTTCGAGAAGAAGCTGCTGAGTTTTCTTGTGCACTCATTTGAGTTGACTGTCATGTTTGTAATGAATGGTGCGAGAAAGAAATAATGATTGTAAACTTTGTACAGCTGCAGTTTTTTGATGTCCGCTGGTTGTATGTATATTGTCCGACCCCATGCCACTGAATCCTCAAGGCTGCACCCACGAAAAAAAAGGCCTCCTTTGTTGCCAACAGTAACAAACATGGATTTCGAAGATCCTTTTCCTTGGTGATGAATTGGTCCCTTAATTGGGAATTTGTTTGCATCAACACAACTTTGTTTGGATATGGATTTTATCCGTTGTTTGGAAAACAAGTTTTCGTTGTATGTGACCCAAGCATGCAATTTCTCACATGTTTGCATCAATTTACATTCATTTGTTTGTATGTGCCACACTCGTTGAGCTAAATTCGCGTCGTTGGTTCAATTTGGGTTTTCGTAACGTGTTCTAGAGGTTTTCTTTCCGCTGCATTTCACTTCGCAATCAAGCTTTAAACACAGTTTTGCAGTTGGCTGGGAAGGCAGCGCCAAGTGCAAGTCGTCAACAGTTTTGTGTGCACCTTGTCGTGTCTTTTTTGTGAGTCCAGGGTTTGTAAAGGCTGGTGGCATGGCCGAAGCAGCCAGTCTCATTGAGAAGTACAGAGTGGATGGAGGTGTCCACCGTTACCTTTCGCTGACCAAGATTAACGAAGAACACGGCCAGTGTGACGGTCAACAGTAAATTTTGGTCATTTCCCTGCATGGACTGGAGGCGGCGACCTCTCGAAAGCTGCAGAAATTCATCAGAGCATCCTGAGCTTCAAACCTGATTGGGAAAGCTACGAGGCCCGGACAATCGATGGCCTCCAATCTACGACTGATGATGTCCTCCGACCTACTAAGGCCTCCAACCATAAAAGATATAAACAGACGCCGATCCGTATTGTTGTTTTTGTTGAAGGCGACAAAGGCGCAAGCACACGTCTTGAAATTGATCGAGGCTGATGCACCCGTCAGAGACTTGGAACTGGGTGCGGTTTCCTTAATAAGAAAATCACGGTGCTCCTTGAGGCTATCAAGAACAAATCAATGATTCAAGGCCGACGAATGAACACAATCACACACTGGTAGCTCACTGTTTGTATGAAGAGGTTGCACTTTCTTTCACCTGCATGTCACATGTCTTTGTATTTCAGTTGCATAAAATGCGGCTGTACCTTCGGGCAAGTTCAAGTCCTTATGCATTTTTTCCTTGCGATGGCCTCCAACCTAATAGAATGCATGATGCTCGGACAATCCAAGAATCCAGCAACAGCTTTGTTTGCAGGCCACATTCAGGTCGTGCAAGCGTGCATGAACATCATGGCGAGTCGATTCTGGAAAGCAAATGTGTGTAGCATGGACAAGGATCTATTTATGTGAGTCTTGACACTTGTCTCACTGCTGTATGACAAAAACATGTGAGTCAATTTGAGGTTGAGAGTCTGAGCACCAAGGAGATGAGAAACCTATTCAGTGGCTCTTGACATTGTTCTATGACATGCTTCGAGAGGATAGTAGCAGCAACACGGCTGAGACACAACTTTTCTGTCACATTTTCACTCATTCTACTTGGTGAGGCTACGCCATCTTTGAGGAGGCTTCAAAGCAGAAGATCGAGGCTTTGGAATATCAGCAGTTCTTTCTTTTGGAAGAACCAATACGAGAAGACATCAATAAGTGCAACCAGCAGAGCCCATTGGTATCCTACACATGCGAGGTCTACAAGCCTCTGATGGCCTTGCTTCTCCGGCCTGGTGACAACTACACAGCAGACAAGGCAAGACAATGGAAACTATCTTTAAGACAGTATTCTCCAAAAAATGGTTTCTTGTTTGCTTGATGTCCACCGCACGCATAGTAGTACAAAAGCAGCGAATGTTAAAATTGTTGTCGATGCGAAAGAAAGAAACCGAGGAACACATGTGAGGACTTATGGGAGATTCTGGGTTCTGAAAGGTCAGTTGGCTGCTTTCTGCGGTGATCAGCCATGTCCCGCACAGTGTCACAAAGGCTTGGAGTAAAAAACTGCCGCAGCATGTGCCAACAGCGCCAAACCGTGTGATGATTAGTAGAATTAGATTTTCAAGCGCCGTGATGATTTGAAGAAAGTGCATCACACTCTCGAATCCAGTGAGGCCCAAGTGGAGGAGTTTCTATCTTCTGTCTTAGATTCGTCAAAGACAAGTTGCTCGGAACTTGGACAATTGGAGGCAGGAGCTCATTGTCTCGCTCCTGCTTTCAGCCTTTCTTTTCCTCTACTCTTGGTTCAAGTTGGCCTGACTCTCTGGATCTTTTTTGGTGCAGTCTATCTTATGCTCGACTAAAAAGGGCAAAGATCATCATTTTTGTGAACGTTTCTTTCTGGCAGCAGACTTGCTTGGATTGGAGAGTGCCACGCGTCAACATTGCCTTGGTACTGCTCACCTTTGCTAGTCTTTGCTCTTGAGCTTTGCTCACCTCAAGTTGAACTCGAATCATATTGCCGTTGATTCCTCTTATTTCAGTGTTTGCATTTCAGCAGACCCCAGACTGGCTTGGTCCAAGCAGGGAGTGGTGAGACAATGTGAGACATTCAGGCTCCAAGGCAGGCCGCAAAGTTAAAAGCTCATGGTGCAGGCTATCACAAATCTATTGAAGTCAGATGCCTTCAGAAAGTTCACTTGGTCTGAGCCAGGTGCGGCTCAGCTTTTGCATGGATTCTTGAAGAATACTTATTGTCTTGAAGGAAGGGTATCTAAGGCAGGTAGGTTGGAGGCTCAGAAAGGATCTTTTTAAAGCAATATCTTCGGCTCTGACAGGGATTCCAGAGAGAATCTTCCGGCCATGAACTCAGCGGGTCTTCGTTTGGGTATGGAGCTGTCTTTGCTTTTCTGACCTTAGCCCAGGATACAGCCAAAGTCTGCACCGTCACCACACTTGTACAAGTGGCTGGGCTAAGACCGACTTTGGCTGGATTCTACCCTGATGCGACCATGCCGCGGCCTTTGCAGGTGCATCTTCGCAATCTGGGCTTTGACTCTTGTCTGCACTGGAATCTTGCACTGGCCATGTTCAGGACAACTCGGATTGGACGGACTTTCCTTCGATAGATCTAAGGTCCTTCGACCAGGAGATTACTAGCTCACTCAAGGAGGGCACAAGCAGAGATTTTGTTCGTTGTTTGGCCCCAGCAGGGGCTACTAGGAGCAAAGAAGCTACTAGGGGCTCCTGGCATCGCTACTAGGAGCAAGAACGCTACTAGGGGCTCCTGGCATCGCTACTAGGAGCAAGAACGCTACTAGGGGCTCCTGGCCTTACTACTAGGAGCAAGGAAGCTACTAGGGGCTCCTGGCATCGCTACTAGGAGCAAGAACGCTACTAGGGGCTCCTGGCCTTACTACTAGGAGCAAGGACGCTACTAGGTGCCCCCTCCTAGGTGTGCTCGTTGTTTGGCCCCAGCGAGTCCATGAGGTGTTGGTCTCCTTGAGCTTCGTCTCTTGGCCTAGGAGATGCATGTTATCAAGAAGCTTCGAGAGACTCTGACCTACAGCAGAGTCGAGAAGGTGCTGCGAAGGATGTACCTTAAAGTGCGAAGCATGTGATTCGCCTCGACTTTTTGTCAGGTGATTCGCCTCTGCCTCACAGTTCTGAAGAACTTCCTTGGCTTTGGACTCAGGATGATGTGTATGAAGCGATTGGATTGCGACCCGAGCGGACATGGATTGTTTTGGCTGTGCGCCGCGACTGCTACTGCCAGGCAACAAAAGCCTGTGTGAGGACATTGTCGAGGAAGGAATTTTGGAGGCCTTGATTGACTTGACCTAAAAAATTGAGTTCGTGCACTGCCTGTCATGCGTATTGCCTTTGTCCTGCCCTATTCGCTTGCGGCAGGCAGTTCAGCAGCTGGAGTTTGAGAAGTGGAGGGATGCAGAGCTCTATGATGACATCAAGGTCATGAGTTTGCCTGTGGCATATGATCAACCTGTTCGCCTGTGGTTGGATGAAAAGAACCACAACTAGACAGACGTAGATGGATTGGTTGGCATGGTTAGTTGGAGAGATGGAGAAGTGTAGATGGAATGATTTGAGCAATGGCTAGTTATTGCAGTGGTTGTTTAGACAAAGAAATATAAGGCCCTGTACAGCCTGTACCACTTGTCAAATTCATAGCAGTTCAAGAGATTCTGCAAAGCTTTATGCGGGGTGTGTTATTTTTCTGCCTGATTGTGATAAGGATATGGCCATTCAAATTGGATCAGAGGCGGGAAACGGGGCGTCCCAGCATTAATTTCGTTTGCTCACTCGGATCACGCCGCGCACGGCGTTTGCGGTGAGGTGAGTGAGATGAGCAACTTTGAGCGCTATGAACGCGAGTTGCAAACAGGAAAGCTCCAATGGGGTGAGGCCCTGAGAATGTTTTGTGCTTGTCCAGGCTGGTCGGACTGTCGACAGTACAACGAAAAAGAAACAAAGGAGCCTTTCCTGAAAAGCATTCAGTCATAGAAGAGCAAAATAGACATGAAAAAAAGTAAGGCCTCTGTTTTTCATCTCTTAAACGTCTTCTATTGTCTGGTGTTCAAAAGAAAAGTGGCAAACAAAGATCTCGAAGAGCAACTCGTACCGAATCGACCTCGTTTGGTCAAGCTGAGCCCAGAGAACTCGTCCAAGTTCGCGAACCAACCTACTATAATAGGGATAGCCTCCAACTTACTAGGGATGGCCTCCAACCTAATAGTGATGGCCTCCAACCTAATAGGGATGGCCTGCATCCCACTAGGGATGGCCTCCAACCTACTAGGGATGGCCTCCAACCTACTGGCGATGGCCTGCATTCTACTAGGGATGGCCTCCAACCTAAGAGCGATGGCCTCCAACCTAAGAGCGATGGCCTCCAACCTAATAGGGATGGCCTGCATCCTACTAGGGATGGCCTCCAACCTACTAGGTATGGCCTCCAACCTGGTCGCGATGGCCTCCAACCTAATAGGGATGGCCGGCCTCCGTCCTACTAGCGATAGCCTCCAACCTAATAGGGATGGTCTCCAACCTAATACCGATGGCCTCCAACCTACGTAATAGGGATGGCCTCCAACCTACTAGGAATGGCCTCCAACCTACTAGCGATGGCCTCCAACCTACTAGCGATGGCCTCCAACCTAATAGGGATGGACTCCACTCCAACCTAATAGGGATGGCCTCCAACCCAAAAGGGACGGCCTCCAACCTCAGAGCGATGGCCTCCAACCTATAGCGATGGAAGGGGCTGAGTGTCAGAGACGGAAAGCAACCTAAAGAGCATGTAAGAAACTCAGAACTCGAGGAAGTTGAAGAAGTCTCACAACGAAGCACGAAGGAGTCGGGCTGAACTATTGCCCTGCTTGAAGCGTTTTTTGGAGTACATTCCAAGTGGAAGAAGGTGGTGACCAAAGGAACCTGCATGGACCAGGATCAGCATCAACTTCCACACGTGGCCGCCACTTGTAGGATGTCGGACGGATATGTTCCTGAAACTCATGACGGATGACTTCAGCAACCCGCTGTTGCTCTGGATAGCAAGGCCGATGTCACCAGCCGAAGGCACAGGAGCCTGCCCCCTGCCTGTACAAAGCACAAGCACGGGCACGCCGGACGTGCGGAGGCAATAGGGGGACGCCACACGAAGAGATCGTCTGACCAACCATGGTGGCAAATTGAGAAGCACACTCATTCCAAGAGCTATTGAAGGCGAGCGCCTCAGCTGGCATATGCGGCCAAGCAAATGTCTTATGGTCTACATTGGTCTATGCACGGGGATGTAACCCCTAGCAACCAACATGAAACTCAACCTTTTCCATCCAAGAAGGACCAACGTGCACGTTGTCTTGGGTGTTGTCAGCTTGCGGCCGCCGGAAGGCACTGTGCCATTCAAGAACTGAATCAAGCAATGATGCATGCACCCCAGTACGAGGAGCTAAAGAATGCAGAGGGCACGGGCTGCCTCAAGATCAAAAGCCAAAGGACTCAAAACGGCCCATGCAGACATGCTGTCTGAAAAGGCCCCGGACCGACACATGGGGTGTGGTTCCCGCGGATTCAGAGAAGCTGGGATATGGTTATCGCAATCTTTACGACATTTTTGAGGCATCAGCGAAAGACGACAGAGTTAGTCAAGGCAGACACACATCCTGGTCAGCCGCAGCATTCCCCAAAGCGTGATAGCAGAGCAGATCAGGGAGCAAACGGGGATGGCGTGACCCTTGACCTTAACCACCGTATAGTGTCCTGATTAGCCAAAGTTTTAATACGATGGCAAGGGCAGGTTGCGGAGGCTTGTGCAGTTGGGTACCCTGGACAGTGGCCGCGTCACGAAAAGTGTCAATGGCACTAGACGAATCAGCATGAATGATGGCGCGCCGAAAACATTCCTGCGCTCGAGCAACAGCCCTCAACTCAGCATGGTGCATATTTTGTTCATTGGGGCAAAGCTCTTGGATGGCCACATGAAAGGTTTGTGGCACGCGACCAGTCTCTTTATATCGTTGTGCATGCCAACAGAATCATTACTGCGCGAATCAACAACTACACTATATCCTGCATATCTCAAGGAGGGCGAAGTGGGATGTTGGCAGCTACCATCGGTGTAGACATGTAATGGTTGATCAGCCGAAATGCACGCCTGTGTGCGTGCCACCAGGGCCGGGTCAGGCGCATGCTCTTGAAATGCAAATTGAAAACTATAACGAAAGGTTCACAAATTTGCTGGGTGGCCGTGCGCGCAAAGAAGCGGTGGAACTTGGTGTCAGCTTGGCGAGTCCCAGATGGCCTGCTGGCTTGTGGACTGAAAGGCACCAGCGATTTCACGTCCCAAGAGTCGACGTTCTCCTGGTGATACATGTGACATAGCCTGACGAGTGAGATGCTGGTCAATATCAGGAACCAATCAGGGACTTGCGATGTGACTCTGCCACCAGCAGGCGATCCTGCCAAGAGCGCTCTGCAAACCACACCAAGGTGGACCATGGACAAGCAAGAAACTGTAGTTTGATAAAGACAGACGCCTGAATGTAACCCGAGGAACCAATGGACGAACTTGAGCGTTGATGCTGGACCTTTGGAGGTATTCGGACGAGGAAAATGCTCAGCAGCATAACGAAAGAAAGTCACTTGGGTGGCTCTGTCACCTGTCATGAGTCGATAGAAACCTTCGGCTGCTGCGCAGGCTTTCAAAAACAGATGTAACTCTGGGTCATGAACGTGTTTGGATGCACACAAACTGACCAAAACTGCTGACATGCTCTCAGATGGTCCCACCAAGGCCTCAGCAACATGATGGCACAAAGACCTAGTATATGGTTCACCCAAGGGGAAGAGCTCAGCCCCATGGAATGCCGCTGGATACACGCTAGCCGCAATGACCTTGACTTTGACACCTAGATCTGCGGCGACCAATCTTTGGCTAGATATAATGAATCTGTCACAGAGTTTACCTAAACAAGGGGCACCCTGATAGCACAAGGGGCAACCGTGCAACCCAAGTCCGAGGCAGCCAAGACACAGTCTCGAGAGAAAGGCAGCGTGCGCTACTTTGGCCAAATTGTTTTGATTTGTTATGCGAAGGCCACCGCCAAGTTTTGGACCAGTCAATGTTAAGGCCAATAATCTAGGTCACTGTACATTGACTTATGGTGGCTTCGAGGACAGGTTGAAGCTCAAGGACATCCTTGACAGCCTAGGCCCAGTTATCAGGCCCAGTTATCTGCGTAGGCATTGGCGTGCTTACGACAGGCAAGGACCCAGCATTGTGCAACTGAATCCGAACAAAATTCCCATCGCCTGGAAAGCCTAGACAGCGAGTGGGACCAAGTACGCAAAATCTGCGAGGGAACAAAAAGTTCGTGAACGATTTGGGCTTGGGCCAGATTTGCATGGTGAGATTGCCCGAATGCCAACGTAACAACAAAAGAACAACTTTGTGAGCATCAAAAAGCTGATCCTGTAAAACTTCAATAGATTGCAATCGTGGCAATAACTCTGGCGACAGAAAAGCAATGTCAGGAGTGGTGGCTTCCTTGCAAGTGGGCCAAGTGGGTGGCATGACACCATACATGGCGGAAAATAGCTGTTGCAGATGCAAATCGCCAATCTTGGCCAAAGTACTGCTTGAGGCCAGCTTGGAAACATCAGCGCTAAAGTCTTCCATAATAACGGAAGGAAGATTCACTTTCTGGACTCTTGGCCGCCAGCGCCAAAAAGCTCATCATTGAAGTCCTGAGCGCCCGAATTGGATTGAGCAAGACCGTAAACAGCGATGATCTGCAGCTTCCACTCCTCAATGACAACATGAAGAAATCTCAAGTCCATGCCCGGGTCGATCAACTGGAGGAAATTGTCTTGGAGAGAGGCTGAAGTTGTCACGGCCCGTTGCTTTTCCACGCTTGCTGATTTGATGGTTAGCCCTTGCGCGAAGGGAAGGAGCTGCCGTTGTGAAAGCTGAAAAGTTTCCGCCTTGTCATGACCTGAACTGGCAATGTGGCACTGGTCTCAGATGCCGCAATGAAATGACATTTGCATTGACAATGTAAATCACGAAAGGCATCAGCCTTGTTGGTCAAAAACGTGGGGTTGCAGAACCCGAGGTTAAGGACATCGGGCCCAGGGTCGAGCTTCGCCCAATCTAACTCCATGACCAAGGACACGTCGAAACAATCTGACGTGGATAAGACGAATCAATGGCTGTTGTAGCAAAAATATTTGCAACCACCAATGGCAAAGGAATGGGAAGGAACCCACACAAAAGCCTCAGTGAATTAACAGCCGCCTCCTTGGGCTTCTTACGGCCCAGATTTTCTTGGAAGAGCTCTTGTAGCAAGGCCAGCTTCCCATGGAATGCTGCGTTTTCTGTCCACATAGTCTTGATGACTGAAGCCTCCAATGCTTGGGCAGAGAGCTGCAAATGTTTATCAAATCGCAGCCAAATCGAAAGGTCGTGTGCCTGCTGGCGGATGCTGATGTCCAGATGGGTCAGGCGGGTTCTTTCTGGTATCAACTTGAAAGACATTGTTAGCCGCCTCAATGGAAGCCATGCGGACCTCAAGGGAGTGGAGTTCCCCTTTTGTTGTTGAAGTTCGGATTCTGTGGGCCTAACCGCACTGCGAGTCGTGGCTGGACCCGGAAGTGGTCTTCCCTGCAGCCAAATACTGAGCCCAAGGATCAGCCGCAGATGCTCCTGCTGCGCCACTCACCTAGGTATGACCCTCAAAGTGACGTCGCCAACAATGCCTGGGGATTTCTTGCTGACTCCTTTCTGCGGCCTGGGGCAGCCAACACTGGCGAGGAGTTTAAGAGCAAGATCGTTGTTGGAATCGGTTCATTGCTCGCAATCAACCATGCCCGAGCTCCAACCTGTCGAATTGGCTGGATGGTCCACTTGTAGGTTTGTGCCCCTTGGATCAGTGTGTCTGTGGAGGTGCCAAAAGGAAGCGGCTGAATCTTGATCCATGCCGCCCCCTGAAGATCTGGAGGGACATCTTTTGTAGGGCTGATGATTTTCAAAGCAGCTGCAAAGTTCCCATGCTTGTAGCGAAGCCGATGCCATCACGGCCCTTGACCAAACCAAAGCAATCAGTCCAGGCGATCTGAAACCTGGGATCCCGGCGTCCATTGCCCTCTTGATGGCGTCTAACCTACTAGGGATGGCCTGCCTCCATCCTACTAGCAACGATGGCCTCGCACATAATAGCAATGGTGTTCAACCTACCAGCGACGGCCTCCAAGCTACTAGCGATGGCCTCCATCCTAATGGTGGTAGCGATGGCCTAGATAAGTTAGGTTTCCCTAAAGATCTAGGAGACAAATCATCAGTGCATGAGCTATCCTGCGCCTACCTGGAAGCTAACTTAGCCTAGTAGCTTGCTCTCTTACTCAATTGAGCGGGCGGGCAAACGACGCCATCTATTTCTGCCCACAACAGCGGTCGGAACGGGGGGGGGCGCGGCCAGACAAAATGCCTAACGTTGCCTGGCACGTCGCCTTTGGGAGCCCATATATAGAATAGTCAGCCTGGCACGTTCCAGAGGCTGACTCCCGAGGCTGCAGTCCACAAGCAGAGGTGAGGCCCACAGACCAATCCTGCTCTGCAGACTGCCCAAAACGGGCTGGTGCAGTTGTCGCCTGGCATGCGCCAGGCGCTCCCTGGCGGGCAAACGACACCATCTATTTCTGCCCGCAACAGCGGTCGGAACGGGGGTGCAGCCAAAATGCCTAACTTGCCTAACGTTGCCTGGCGCGTCGCCTGGCACGTCGCCTGGCACGTCGCCTTCAGGAGCCCATAGAACAGTTGCCTGGCACGTTCCAGAGGCTGACTGCCAAGGCTGCAGTCCCACCCAACCCTCCTGGCTGAGGTGTGCGTATAGGCAGAATGCAGGCACAAAAAGGCAGCTCCAAAGGTGCCAGAGGCTGGTGCCAGAAGAGGCTGACTCCCAAGGCTCCCGCCAATTTCCTTCGCACCATCGGCCGCAGCCTTTCCGGGCGGGCAAACGACACCATCTATTTCCACACCAAAAAGGGGTGAGCCGCAGCCGCTTCGCCACGCCTAGTCAGTTAAGTAGGAGCGGGCTTTAAAAAACGAACGACTGAACTGAACGGACGCAGATGTCGAAGATCCAAGGCTTCATTCATTCGAGCAAGTTCTGGGCAGAGAATGTCCTAAAGCTTCCTGTTTGCAGAGGATGTTCATGCATCTCTTGACAGAGAAACCATGTGCTGCGTTGGCATGTGTTCCAAGAATTGAAAAAATTCAAGCTTACAGTTGCAGATGATTGCAGATGCTTGCAGATTGCAGCTGAACTCACAGACAACTCAGGTTTGAGTCCAATGACTTCAGAGTGACGAGCCTCAGAAGCCGTAGCTCTTTTGAGCGACTGCACGACGCCACGTGGGACGATGCTTTCGGTCTCCACCCGTTGTTGACGTTCCCCAGGCTCTGAAGGTGTTGGCGTCGTTGCTCCAAAGTCCTGCAACGGACGACACCACATTGGCCGTGGCATGCAAGCAACCCAGTGGCCGTGGCTACGACAGTGGTCTGACAGAGTGGTGGCCGACCGGCCGACGCGACCTGTGCGAGGTCATGACATTGGCGAGTTTGTGACCCTGCACCCTCTGGGCAAGAAGAAGGCTGGCAAGCCTCCTCGCAGTCTTTCAACATGTTCACTTTGATCCTGGACACAGGTTGCCCAGCTGCAGGTGAAGGAGAAGGTGCCAGACATCAGTTGCTGAATTGCCTTGATTCAGTGCACTGATGTTGCAAGAAGTCCAAATTCAGCATCGATTGGATTTCTCCAAATTCAGCTTTCGCGTTCGCTCCAAATGAATGTGTTTGCGGTTTTTCAAGGAAGCTTCCCCCCGCTGCCCTGGGGGAGCTTCCTTGAAGAAGTGCGAGCCATCCTGCGTCCAGCAGCTAGTAGCGGGTAGTTGTAGATCCTACCCTTAATTAAGTATATAGTCTTTACTTAACAACATTTTCTATGAGGACAACTCGGGATTTAAAGACAGAAAAACAGATCCAAAGAATGTCCTGCAAGTCCTGGCTGCCCTTGTAGGTCATGGAGCTGATGGCAGCCCCTGAGCAGAAATCCCGAGAGGTGCGTCGAGAAGCCTTGTTATGTTGCAGGGAGCTCAGCGAAAGCTGGTCGAACCACAACGTGGCTCTGACTAACCAAACCTACTAGCGATGGCCTCCACCCTAGTAGCGATGGCCTCCAACCATTTGATGGATCCCAGGTCAAAAGATCATGTTGAACAAGTGGCAGGCCAGGAACTCACAGAACAGTGGGGGGAATGGGATGTTGCGCATGAAGCGATTCCGATTTCATTGCCCGGATTCAGCGAACTCGAATTTCATGCCAGGATATGGAGCAGGCAGGGTGAAACCGGTCTTTGCATCAAAAGAAGCGGGGAGGAGGAGCCTCCTTTTGAGGAACTGAGATGGTCAGATCGTCAGTTGGGTTTCAGGTTCCAAAATGAAGTTTCGAACTCTTGAGTTGAGTCTGAAGCTGAGAGACGCTCTGAAAGAAGCACCAAGAAGCATCGCTTCTGTTTCAAATGGCAATTTTTCCGACCATCCTTTCAACATGCATGCTCAAAGTGCTTTGAACTGGGAATACTCCTTTGAACACTCAGGTGGCTGCATTTTCCCGCTCGCTTTAAACAAACACAGATTGAATCCATAAGCACTTGGCCACAAGCACTGCATAACTTCAGCATCGCCACGGGACGAGGCCGAGCTGGAACCTGGGCGTGGCTTCCAGCAAAGTCTGTAAGTTGACTTCACAGACTGGGCTCAACTTAGAAGGTTAGAAGCTTAGCAGTAGCAGATCTTAACAGCTTGTTGGACCTTGCTGGGAACTTTTAGCTGAGTTTCTGCGGGATTCCCCAGCTCAGATGGAGCTCCTGGGATGTCTTAGGCTGTATGTCACGATGTTTGTCATTTCTGTTCCAAAACCAACCGATGACGCTTTGTTTCCCTCGTCATTCCCACTCCGAAGCTGTGACCATTAGAGCCGGCTGGAGGAGCGGACAGGGATAGGGTTCAAAATCGTGACTGGGGCGCCGCGGCGGCAGCGAGACTGGGAGCAGTCTGATGTCACAACCCGAAGCCCCTCCTGAATTGTTGCAGGCATACTGGACCAGTTTAGTTTCCCTGAATATCTAGGAACCAAATGAATAGTGCGAGCGCTCCCTGCCGCCTTCAGGGCGGGGGGAGCTTACTTGAAGAAGTGTGAGCTATCCTGCGTCCAATACTAGTAGCTTAAGTAAGCTAGTAGCTACCTAGCTACTAGCTACCTAGCTACTACCTACCTCACCTCTAGCGGCCTACCCCCTCCTAAAAAATAGATTAAGGAAAGTAACAACAATAAATAAACAAATTCTGATTGTAGTTTTGAAAGTGCTTGGGATTGGTTTCTAAGTGCCAAGACTCTAGATGCTGATCCGCTGCAGAGTGTGGCGACGAGCTTTCTTGGAACGTAGACCTCTGACGCAACACATGCAACGAGTAGACCTCGTTTACTTCTTGCACTATTTTAATGGAAACATGGATGAGTCTCGGCCAGACAATGAATCTAGGATGGAGGACGCACTTTGAAGCACTTGGTCATTGGCCATTTTGGGCTCGAACGGAGGGATGAAGGGATTTGCATTTTTGGTGCCATGGAGCCAAGGCCAAGGCCGCTTTTTGTGGCAAGTCCGCAAGGCGGAGGTGTAAAGCCAACACAAATTCAGAGAATTCATTTTTTTAACTCACAAATTCTTTGTACATTTCTCGAGGAAGATCTGCGACTTGGGGTGTAGGATGGCAGGCCTCATGATCCTCTAAGACCTCTGAAAGTGTTGCGCCCTCTCTCGGCACAGTAGCCATCACGCCTTTATTGCAGTTGAAGTCAAAATGCTTGACGTATAATATTGCTGTTTGCAGATTGGGAAAATCTGCTTCACTGGGAAGCCTTCCAACTGCTGGGAAGGCACGACAGACCTTGGCCTTGAGCAGGTTTGAGTGGAGTTGTTCATGAGTTTTCTTGATTGATATAGCAACATTTCCAAAAGATCTAGGAACCAAATCAACAAGCCTCAGCCCCTTTGCGTCCCCTAAGAAGCTACTATATAGATAGTAGCTTGGTTTTCCTACTCAATGGCTGTACTTACGCTCAACCTCCCGGTCCCAATGGCCCAATATTGCACTTGTTTCTAATAGCTTCTTGTTACTACTAGTAAGGCCAGGAGCCCCTAGTAGCTTCTTGCTCCTAGTAGCGATGCCCTTGTTTCTAGTAGCTTCTTGTTACTACTAGTAAGGCACTTGTTACTAGAAGCGATGCACTTGTTTCTAAGACACGTTCAGCCTTGCCAGGCTGTGACCAAACGTGGTATTCGATTAGAGGCACGACTCGCGACCCGACGTGAGTGAACCTGAGGGTGACCCGATGGAGTCCAGTCTCCTCCGGGTTTTAGGAAGAAAGATCACTAATAACAACAAGAGATAAAATGGCTTTTTGCCTCCTAAAGAAAGGAGGCCCAGATTCTTGTGGTTCGGAACGAGTTCTTGCAACTCCTTGCCTGCAGGACCTTTGCAGACCACCCCGAGTTGGGCGAGGAAGTGTCAAGACAACCGGACGTGTGGTGCACAGAGCACGCGATACACATGAATTTAAACTTCCGCGAATCTTTGGAATCTCTTCCCAAATCTCTTGACACTTCTTGATGAACTTCTTGAAGAATTCTTGCTAAAAATGCACTTTACGATCTGGCCCGAAAGCAGCTTCCAACGAAAGCTACTAGTAACAAGTGCATCGCTAGTAACAAGTGCACTACTACTAGTAGCAAGAAGCTACTGGTAGCTATTTGCTACTAGCTCAGCAAGACAACATTTTGTCACTTCACCGCCAGCGAGCAGCCAGCGATCCGAGAAGAAGCGTTCTGTTTCTGTTGAATTGGATGAAGACGGCCTCCTTGTTACTAGTAGCGATGCCCTTGTTACCAGTAGCGATGCCCTTGTTACTAGTAGCGACACCCTTGTTCCTTTTTGAGGTGCTTTCCACAAACCTTTTGAGGTTGGGATTTGTCGCACGCTTTGTGAAGATGGCTGGCCCGTTCTAGTCCCCGGTCCTTTCCACATGTTGTCCAAGAAAACTGCAGGTGGCGTACCGGGAGATTGCAGAGCTTCGAAACTTCAGGCGGTTAGAGGCGCAACCTTGCCCTTGGTCTTTGTCCTTGGGTGTTTTGAGCTGATTAAACAAGACAGAGGATTTCAACTAAATCTAAGTTTGTGAATTCATCTAAGTTGAAGGCCATTGCTATTAGGTTGGAGGCCATTGCTATTAGGTTCGTGAATTCATCTAAGAGTTCTTAGTTGAATCTTCGAAGAATTCTTCCGAGAACCTCTTCATCGAAGCAGATTCCGATCGCTCTGGAGAGATGAGCTTCCGCCTTAAGATAATTGAGATGAGCTTCCGCTTTCTTCATTTTCTTCATCGTTTGTCAGGCCAAGCTGATTAAGCCAACAGTCAATTTTGGTCAACTAATCTTTCAATCAATCTGGCCTTACAATGCGCCAAACTAGGTCTGGATGAGTTTCGGAATGCTTTGCGGAAGCCGTGGGTCCAGAGGCACAAATGTGATTCCATCCAGTCGCTCAGCATCATTGACTCAGCTTGAGGGTTCTGGTGAAACAGGTCCTTCTCCTTGCTGGGCGTCCAACCGCACCAAGCAGAGGCCCAGTTTTGGACAAAATTCAAGCTGGGCGTCCAACCACGCAGATTGCATGACAAACCACAGACACGGCATCCATGGTGGGGTAATGACAAAAGCAAATGAGTCTTCCTAGCAAGCTTTTTCCTCTTGCATGCTGCATCCATGGCGAGGTCGTTTTCAAGAAGATGAACCGGGCGAATGCAGAGGCGCTCACTGGATGCCTGTGAACGCTCAGTCTTTTTTTGTTTCTGAATGCTTCTTAGCTTCGAGGAGATCAGCATCTCCGACTTCATGCAGGGCTTGGAGAGCATTCTCGGAACCGATTTGGATGGACCACCAAGGGACTTGGATGTCTCATCGCTTCTTGGAGAAGAACAACGAAGAAAATAAGAAACACAGATGAACTAAGAGAAGGTAGGGGCCCTACCAAAAGGAGGGTTCTACACCCCTTTTAAACCCCCATTTTTTTATCTCGTTGTTTCTTTTTTCCTTTCCAGTATTTTTTTGAAGACCGCAAGACCGCTACTTAGCTACTACCAATGGACCAACTGCTTAGTCGGAGGCCTCGGACTTTGTTACCTTTGAGTTACCAGTAAATAGACTTGCTAATTTCATACTACTATCAATGACCTCCAACCTACTAGCGACTGACTACAATTTCCAACAGCTTGTTAAAGACCTTAGATCGACCTCACTCCTAGCAAGTCCAACTTTTCAATGACAACTTTTGTTGCCTCAGAGTCTGACCTTGCCTTACCATGCTCAGGTTGAGCTTTCGCCTGAAGGCCCGCATGGCAGTTCAGCCAAGTGCAAGCTGTTGGTTTTTCATGGGAAGGCCAAGAGGAGGGAAGACTCCACTCAAGGACCTATATACTTTGATCGAGACTTTCTGAAGGGACACTTCACATTCATGGATGTTCCAAGGAGAAGGAGCACATGGTGAATCGACTGAGACACTCCCGGGAGGCCCTTTGGAGCGTTCCTCCACCGATGGTGTCTCATTCCATCTCATTCCGGTTGCCAGGCCAATCCTCCACCGATTTGCACAGCACCCTAGGTGGCGCTTGTTCAACAACAGGAAGCACAGAGTTGGCACCCGTGATTTCTGTGAGCAGACACGCAGGTTCCAAAGACCAGTGTCTTGACTGCAAAATGTCATGTGTTCCAACGCTGTGGAGGTTTTTAAATCCATTTTCTATCTCATTCTTGTCGTCAGGAAGCACATCTCTGCTGCCATGGCCGTTTTGTCTCCAACCTCCGTGGCGAAGAGGGAGAAGAAGGCTGTGTTTCACAGCGTGTTTGTACTCTTTTCTCCCCGTTTCTTTCGGAGATCTTTTGAAAGTGGTCGTATGAACCTTTATAGATCTTTTGGTTTTACCAATTTTCCTCTCCCGGAGACCGTCAGATGCGAATGGAGCTTCTAAGTGCTGTTAACGTCAGGAGCTCCGACGCCGAGGATCAAGTCAACAGGCAAGTCGACAGATCAAGGGATAAGATCCAAGATAATCGTGCCATGGCTTGCTTGGTGTCTTGAAAAATCACGAGTCCCGGCTACTACCAAGCCAAACTATTTTGTCCCTTTTGCAGAGTTGCCAAGCTGAGAGCCTGAGTTGCAGGCAGATGGCTTTGGAAGCTTTCACACCCAGGATGCTGGGTCACCCAACAGTGCGGCAAGGACGCAGGCAAACTATTTGATTGATATTCCTATAAGCAACTTATGCAACTCACGCAGCTCTTCACAACTTGTTGACTTCCTTGCTCTCCTGTGACACACAACATTTTGACAGTTTCTTCTCTCCAGGGCCCCTATGGGACTAGCTGAGAGGCCAAGCTCGATCGATCATCGCAGTGAACACCAAATCGGGGAGCTGGGGGGAGTTGTCGACGAGCTTGGTTTCTGCGATGATGCCGGACATTGGTGGCAATAGGCTGTCCGAAGGCAGGACGGCGACTTTTTAAACATTTTGAGCTCTCAGAGGTGCTTGAAGGGCTCAGTTGTGGATCAGAATCTTTGCTGACGGTGTCACCAAAGCTGCCAAAGGCAACTTGTACACAAGACAACATGTAAACAAATATCAACAGTACCAAAAAACGGAATGAACCCAAAGGCTGACCGAGCGCCCCGGTGCTCCGCTCCCTTATGTGTTTACCAAGAAAACATTTGTAAGATTTACTGTAAGATGGGTTCCAACGGTTTACCAATTTTGGTATTGTGGACTTGGCACAGCAAGTCTATTTGCTGTCCAAGCTTGGATCTGCAGCTCAACGTTGGCATGTGGAAAGAACGCTGCGTGATCTCACCACAGCAGGTTTTGTGCTCGAATAGACGATTGGACTCGTGTACCTGCTTTTGTCGTGCAGTTAAGATCAAAACAAGCACACGTGGGCAGATCATTCGCTTGAAACTTGCCAAATGCAAGTTTGCTTTTTGAAGTATGCTTGGAATGAGCAAGGCTTGAACGCTTGCAGAGGTTGTGTTGTGCATCAAAGGCCACCAACAATTGGGTATGCGTTTGTATATAGTATATGGAATTGGACCCCGATTGTGGACGTTCCACTTCTTTGTAATTGGCGTTGACTTGCAACGATAGGATTAGTAAGAAGAATTCTTCAAAGAGCAGCGAACAACCGAGAAGAATGCATCAGAACCGATTTCCTGATTTCAATGTGCGACTTATATCCTTGTCATATTCTGTTGCCAATTAACTTGCTACTTGATGGCCATGCGCTGTCTTCGTAAAGTTCATGCAGGCTGGTTTGCCATGGAACTGATCCTTTGTTCTGTTTCAATGCCTTCCTCTGTTGCAGGAAATTAAGATGATGGATGCGGACGAGGTCCGAGAGAGGGCACAGGAGTCCGTCGATACCTACTGACTCTTGACTTGAACATGCACTGTGTCGATGCAATATGTTCAATATGCTGACGGAGAAGTTGCCCATGGTGGGTTGCAAACCCAGAAGGAAACAATTTGGAGTCTGGATTGTTTCACGCTATTAGGTTGGAGGCCATGGCTAGTAGGTTGGAGGCCATAGCTTGAAGGTTGGAGGCCATTGCTTTATCATATGGCTCACATGGCATCCTCGGAACAAGATGCTCCAAGGTCAGAAGCATGACATTCAGGGTATCGTGGGAGATCTGGTCTCCAAATATCTCTTGGATCGTCCGGAGGAGTTCACGCCAACCACCCCTTTGTGTTCCGTGGAGATGCATATGTATAGCATTGTGTGAGGCTCAAACAGGTGCAAGGCTGCAAGATCCGTTTCCCTTTTGTTCACACCTGCAGGACATGAACCCGCATGAATACTTTGCACAGCAACTCAGGCTGGGCTTGGTTCGTTTCTTTGAGGGCAAGACATGAGCTTTTTTCGAATGTTGGAACAAGGAGACATCACCTGACACACGCAAGTGTGATGGCCAAGTTTGCCCTCCACAAGACGGATCCGAGATACGGAGTAGAAAGAACAGTTTTCTGGAGTGAGGGTTTCCAGGAAGCTCCTTTGCAGGTTGTGGGCTCAAAGGATATATGGGGATGTACTTTTGTTGGGAGGAGCCAGTAGGTTCTCGCATACCGGGTATATACCGTAAGCCGTAAGCCCTTGCCAAGTTGCTTGAATTTAGAATTTAGAATTCTGGGTTTGTTTAGCCCTAGACTTCAGAGGCTCCAGAGGGTTACCACTTTTGGCTTGGAGGCTGAAAATGCTGGCGGGAGATGAGGCATGTGCAGTTGGTTCTACCCAGGGTTTTGGATGTCATTCAGACGTTCATTAAGATTCCAAGAGGCCCATTTGGTGGAGGCAGCAACGAAGGCATGATGTGGGCAGAAAGAACACGGATTTCTTTTCCAATGAGACAAAGCACAACATAAAACATAAAGTGCATGAAAAGACAATGAACAAACTAAAGAAAAAAGACCAGACAAGAAAGCGAGTATTCTTTTTGTATCATTCCGATGAGAACGGTCGAGGTCCCAGGCTATGCTTTGCGACAGCTCTTTGAGGCCACCAAGAGGACAGAGCCGAGCCGAGCACTGGAGACGGTGAGCTGTGTTGAACCGCTTCGAGCGATCCTATGATACCCCAGACCACAAGAGAAACTTCTCTCTCCCTCTCTCTCTCTCTCTTTTCGGCTTCCATGAAAGACCGGCGAAGAAATGTTATTCTTTTGATGACGGTCTTTCATGGAAGCCGCTTGGATGTCAGGATCACCTCTGAAATTGTTCCAAAGGAGACCATCCGGGTGGAGATCCCTAGACCCGATTTGCTCCAAGTTTTTCATTCGCTGTGCTTCTCAGCCTGTTCGAGAGCTCTCAAAGGTGATCATTGAGGAAAGCCTCAAGGTGCTGAACTGTGATCGCATCTCCTTATTCGTCTTTGACAAGCGAATCGAAATGTCACTTGGTGACATTTCTACTATTAGAATAGGGAGACCTCCCAGTTCGACCTTCTGGAAGAGGAAAAATAGACCTGTCTACACACTATTGGGGGTTTCCCCAGTAAAATACAGATCCCAGTACACATCCCATATACTTCTTATTTGTATTTCCCCAATAGCCATGCTATGTGGTCTTGCAAAACTAATAGGCGCACGGGCGCCGTCGGGTCACCGTCAGAGCTGGTGGGCGGATGGTGTCAAGGTCATATTTTGATGACGTCCCGGTCATGTTGTGACGGTGTCCCGGTCATGTTTTGATGGTGTCCCGGTCGTGTTGTGATGGTGTCCCGGTCGTGTTGTGACGGTGTCCCAGTCATGTTGAGAGTTCGTCAGTTTTTAGCTGCTGTTGCCGAGAGCAGAACAAACCACACCGGTCATGTTGTGACGGTGTCCTGGTCATGTGATGCTGGTGCCCCGGTCATGTTGTGACGGTGTCCCGGTCATGTTGTGATGGTGTCTCGCGAATGTTGCGATGGTGTCCCGGTCATGTTGTGATGGTGTCCCGGTCGTGTTGCGCT